AAGTCCCTAACCCTGTATTTTTAAAACTAGCTTTACTGAAATATAACTTACATGCCATACAATTCACCCATTTAAAGTTTATAATTCAAGGGGTTTTAGTATATTTAGAGTTGTGCAACGATCACCACAATCAATTTTAGAATCTTTTCATCAGCCCCAAAGAAACCCCGAACTCTTTAGCTGTCACCCTCAAATCCCTCCTGTCTACTTTCCACATCGAGGTGGTGGTTTAGTCGTTAATTTGTGTCAAACTCTTGCAACCCCATGGACTGTAGCCCTCCAGGCTCCTCTGTCCATGGGATTCTCCAGGCAAGAATACTGGAGTGGGTCGCCATTCCCTTCTCCAGGGGATCTTCCTGACCCAGGGATCAAACCCGGGTCTTCTGCACTGCAAGCAGATTCTTTACGGACTGAGCAACCAGGGAACCGCCCTCCATGTCTAGAGATTCATGACTGGATTCTTTTATTCAGCATAATGTTGCTAAGTTCCATCCATGTGGCATGTGTCAGTACTTCACTCCTTCTATGGTAACATTCTACTTGACGGGCAGACCGCATTGATTTATCCATTCATCCACTGACGGACATTTGGGTTTGGGGCAGCTACGAATATTCATGCTCAGGCTTTGATGTGGACGTACATTTCCAATTCTCTTGGGTATGTACCTAAAAAAGGGAAGTGTTGGGTCATAAAGTAACATATATGCTTATTAACCGTCTGAGCCACTGCCAAATGGTCTCCAAAGCAGCTGCACCACTTCCCTTTCCACCAGCAGTGTACGAGGTCCCATTCTCAGCGTCTCCACATCCTCCATACCTGTTGTTATCCACCCTTGAGATTGCTGTGCTAGTGGGGGTGAAGCGGTACACTTACGTTTTTATCAAATCGTACTCTATTTTTGTGAGCGGTTTTATAATTTATTGATAAATTTATTTTAAAAATAAATTAAAATTTTAATTAATAATTTAATTTAGTCATAGCCTAGTGTTAAAACTACATGGGACAGAAAGAAATTAAACAAGAAATCCATTCCTCAAGGAAAGGTTACAGCAGAATGATAAAGACAGAAATCTCCTCTGCAAGGTGAGAGGGAACAGCCCTAGAGAGCAGATGCCACTGTTGTACAGGGTACACTGCATTGTTGCCTGGGTACTACAACACTGGTGTGCAAGGTACACTGCATTGTGTGTGGTGTGACATTACTGTGATACAGTGACACTGGTGTGTGTGTGTGATACATCGCATTGTTGTATGTGATATGACATTGTGGTCTGACACATTGTTGTCTGTGATACAATCACTGTTGTGTGTGGTACACTGCATTGTTATATGTGGTATGACATTGTTGTCTGATACAATCACACTGGTGTGTGTGTGGTACACTTCATTGTTGTCTATGGAATGATGTCTATAACACAATGACTGGTATGTGTGGTACATTGCATTGTACTGCATGGTATGACATCTGTGGTACAATCACACAGTTGTGTGCGGTACACTGCATCGTAGTGTGTGGTATGAGGTCTGTGGTACAGTCACACAGGTGTGTGTGGTACACTGCATCGTAGTGTGTGGTATGAGGTCTGTGGTACAGTCACACAGGTGTGTGTGGTACACTGCATTGTAGTGTCTAGTATGACAATACTGTAGGTGACACTGGTGTGTAGCACACTGCTTTGCTGCCTGTGGTACGACGACACTGGTGTGCGTGATACACTGGCAGGGACACAGAAAAGTTACATCAGGCCTTCCTCCTAACCTTGTTCCCTTTAACTCACACGTGACCTCCTGGATCTGCAAAACAAAGCTCTTTTCCAGTAAACCCACAGGGTGGCATTCCTGACAAAGCTCTACATTCAAACGTCAGCTGATAAACCAGAATAGGTTTTGTTATACTTCCTCCTCGGGACAAAACTTCCTGCCCCACAATAATCTACCACAGAATGTAGCCGCTGTTTACCAATCGAGGGGCTAAAATAAATCCCTCACTTCTGTGCCAATGGCCCCTTCGAGGGGGTGTCCAGGTGCTTTGACGAAAGCCGTCTTCACAGAATTATAGCCCTGGTTTCCTGAAAGGTCATTCCGTCTCCAGCTTCAGTCTGAAGCAAGCCTCCTCTATGTCTAGCTTGAAAGATTCAAGGACTGCCTCAAACCATCCTTAACCTCTTGGCGTCTGTCCCCTCAGCCAGTCAGCAGCCGGAGGTTTACCAACCACAAACTCTGGAACCAGACACCGACAAGGTCAGGAGTGTCAGGAACCTCAGGCCGGCCACGGCCTAGGAAAGAGAAAACAAAAAAAAAATGGCGACGGGGGAGGGGCAGTGAGTGAGAGAAGGGCACAGACGGCACCGCTGGTGGAAGACACAGCGCTGCCCCGCTCGGGCCAACCGCTGTGGCCCTCGGAGGCCGGCACGGACGAGCCCGGGGAGGCCTGCCTGCGATCCACCCTGTGGGCCACACTGTCCACCAGGAGCCACGCGAGGCTTGCCAGGAGTCGGAATGCATTTCCACACCAAGCACCATCTGCAAACTGACGGTCTTATATTACTGTGGTTTTTTTCCAATTAATTTTTATTGGTGCATAGTTGGTTTACAATGTCGTGTTGGTTCCTGCTGTACACAAAGCGAAACAGTGATATGCACACATGCACACATATACACATTCTTTTCTCTAAGACTCTTTTACCGTAATGGTCAGTACAGAGGACTGAGGAGCAGTCTCTGTGTCCCCAGTAGGTTCTTGTTAGACTACTGTTTTCTTCCCAAACGAGAGTAGATCTGTTGCAGATGATGAAATAGTTCTCATTTGCAAAGGTCTGAGTGGTTGTTTCTTGTCACTGTCCATTTTTTCTAATTATGGACAACGAAAAGTCTCTGTGTCCCCAGTAGGTTCTTGTTAGACTACTGTTTTCTTCCCAAACGAGAGTAGATCTGTTGCAGATGATGAAATAGTTCTCATTTGCAAAGGTCTGAGTGGTTGTTTCTTGTCACTGTCCATTTTTTCTAATTATGGACAACGAAAGCACACAATTACCACAGGGGTCTATCAAGTTTTTCTTGTCAAGGGGAGGCTTTAGTTTCAAAAGGTGTAAAGCATCTACAAGCAGGAATTAGTATGTGTGCGCTCACTCACTTAGTCGGGTCCGACTCTTTGTGACCCCATGGACTGCAGCCCACCAGGCTTCTCCATCCACGGGATTTACTGGGTGAGAATGCTGGCGTGGGTTGCCATTCCCGTCTCCAGGGGGATCTTCCCAACTCAAGAGATCAAACCCACATCTCTTATGTCTCCTGCATTGGCAGGCAAGTTCTTTACCCACTCGGTAAGTCCAAGAATTAATATATTTAGGTCCTAAATGTCCACAAAGACAGAAAGGAAAATAGATGACGGTGCAGTGCAGGGCCAGTGCGCCGTGGCCCATGGCCTGAGCGTGAGTCAAGCTTCACTAGGACACACTATGCATTTATGTCTGCACGCCGTCTATGACTGCTGTGTCCTACAGCTTGGACAAATGCCCCAAAAGCTTCATTATTTACTAGTTTACAAAAATATTTACAATTTTACCAAGAAAGTTGGCAAATGCATGGTAGAGCATATCCTGAAACACGATGCAGCTATTAAAAAACAAACGCAACACCAACTGCATCTATGAACAGGGAAAGGGGTTCACGATACAACAGTGAAGATGTTTTATTTCTAACTCTGACTCCCGAGGTGCCCAGCACAGTGGCAACAGGGGTGGGTACCATCCCTCCCCAACCTCAGGGCCCCAGCTTCTCTGCAAGTCCCCCTTCTTCTGACTTATCCAGGGGTCCCTGAGACCAAAGACTGCTGAGGCCTGAGGAGGGGACACGTCCCCTTCCCACCCCAATCCTAAAAAGGCTAAAAAATACTGTCTGGTAAGGATCAAGGTTAAAGCATGCCCGTTTTGTCCTAGGTTGGTCTCCCTACACACAGTCCCTGAGCCAAGCAGAGGGCCCCACTGCGGCCGAGCTGTGCAGGGTGGGGCTGGGACCCCCAGGGAGAGCCTGCACGGGGAAGATCCCGGGAACAGAGCTACAAGAGCTGTGCGGGGTGAGCCCCGAGCACAAAACTTGACCTCTGATTCCTCCCAACACCCCCATTAAAACAAAGAAAAGCAGCAGGAGAAAGGAGTCAAAACCCCACCACCAACAATGGCCTTCCCTGGTGGCTTAAACGATAAAGAATCTGCCTGTGATGCAGGAGACCCGGGTTCAACCCCTGGGTCAGGAAGATCCCCTGGAGAAGGGAATGGCCACCCACTCCAGTGTTCTTGCCTGGAGAATCCCACGGACAGGGGAGCCTGGTGGGCTGCAGTCCACGGGGTCTCACAGAGTCAGACATGACAGAGGGACCGACAAAGAATGGTGAGGGGAAGACACCGGCTGAGCAGAGATTCAAACACATTCCGGAAAAAACTGTAAACAGAGGGAAGACTGGAGAGGGGGAGGGGAGGGGGAGAAGGCGAGGGGCAGGGAGCACCCCGTGCCGGCTCCTCCACCCGGCCGCTGGGTGGGAGCACAGGGAACCACCCCCCCATCCCAATCCAACAACCTCATTTTCAGATGTTCAATCAAGGGTGAAAAATTCAAAGTGAGTCACTCCAGCTCAGGGCAGCTGAGTCCCGGGATGGCTGTAGCTTGCCCACAAGCCCACTTCAAAAGCCAGAATGCTTGGGGGGTGGTGCGGGGCTCTGAGCACAAAGCAGCACAGCCTCTTGTTAGCACACACAGAGCCCGGGCCGACCCTGGCTCCATCCCAACCTCCCCTCCCCATTCCAGGTCGCACTTTGCTCAGCCATCTTCCTCCAGGACTGACCTCGAGTCACCCCAAGGGCATCAGAAGGGCCACTGGGGCAGACAGCACAACCCCCTCACCGACCATTTCAGGGCCCCCCCGGGATCATCCAGCACCTGCTGAGTGCCTCCACGTCCCCAAGCAGCCACTGCCCCCCACAGACAGACAGAAGCACAGGGATAGGACTGAGCAGGTAACTGTTTAATAGAAACTCTTCGGTGACTCTCAGTGAGTCCATATAAAATAAACCTGAGTTTAAAAATGTTGAAAGAAGTCACACCCACCAGAGGAGGTGACCTTATGCACGTGGTGAAGTGTGTTATGTAAAAGCTGTTTGCAAGGTGATCAGGACCTTGGCAGAGGCCTGGAGAATCTTCAACTCTTCGGTCCGCAGTGTTTCTACCAAAGTCAATTGGTTCATCAAAGCCACTTCTTCATCCTTCATGCGAGAAACCTAGAAGTTATTTTTAAATGTTCTTTTTAGTGTAGTAAAATACACGTAAGATTTAAGACCCTGATCAGTTTTAAATGCACGATTCAGTGGCAGTAAGTACATTCACAGTGTTGTGAAACCACAGCCACCATCCATCACCAGGACTTTTTCATCTTCCCAAACAGAAACCGCACCCATTAAACATTAACTCCCCACCTCCCCCTCCCCAAATCCCTGGGAACCACTAGTCTGCTTTCTGTCTCCATAAATTCTGGAATACCAGACCTCTCATTTAATTGGAATCATACAGTATCTGTCTTTTCATGTCCTGGTTTATTTCACACAACACAATGTCTCCAAGGTTCAATAAAATCATTTTTTAATCCCAGTAATGTTTTCATTCAAATGCGCTGATCCCTCATTTAATTAAAACATTCACCACACAAAGGGGAAAAGAGTACCTTAAAAATCTGTGAAAAAGAATTCATGCACTAATTTACCTACTAAAAGGTATGTGTGTGCTGTGTACTAAGTCGCTCAGTTGTGTCCGACTCTGTGACCCCCATGGACTGCAGCATGCCAGGCTCGTCTGTCCATGGGATTCTCCAGGCAAGAATACGGGAGTGGGTTGCCAGGCCCTCCTCCAGGGGATCTTCCCCACCCAAGGGTTGAACCCGTGTCTCTTACATCTCCTGCACTGGCAGGTGGGTTCTTTACCACTAGCGCCACCTGGGAAGACCACTAAACGGTATAAACACATGTAAATAGTCAAAAACACAGATTACATCAGCGTTTATTTACTAAGGCACTAACAGCACCCCAATAAGGTGGACTATTCCTATCCAACAAGTTACAAAACAACTTCTCAATCAAAACACTTAAGAATGAGGTATTCCTGAATAATACCTTTTGAAGCACAGCATTAGTCTCCTCTATGAAATAACGGCATATTTTCTGGGCTACGTCCAAACTTGTCTTCTCATTTGTATCAGAAATTATTTCCCCAAGAAGTACTTTTTTCCAGCATGTACTAGAACCAAAAATGTTCAAGGTCATTTCAGGAAGTTCTCAAAAATAAAGACTTTTCCACTTCAACACAACACTTGTCCTATTTTTCCAAAAACATAATAAAACTCATCCCATCAGCACAATCCCTCAAACCTCCTGCCAATGTGCAGGTCCTGAGTTGAAGCAGACACAGTAGACAAGAAACAAGGAATCCTGAGGATCAGAAGCAAGGAGCTGAGTTTTACTAGCATCACAGTCCTTTGGCTCACGAGTAAGCGGAGCCACATCCACCTGCCACAGGGAGAGAACGGAGGACAGATAAGAAGGTGAGTCCAGAGCCAGAGGACCACAGACTAAGGAGCAAAGGCACGGAGTGGGGGGGTGTTATTTTCTTCAAATGACAGCATCTCCTGTCACTAAAAAAAAAAAAGACAACAAACTCAACACACGACGTGTTTCACCAAGTAAAATGCTCAACAGATGGAAAAGAGGAATCTACCATGAAGTCTTTTTCACCATGCAGGTCATGCCAATTTTATACTAAGAAAGTCTGTAGGAAATGGGGCTCGGTGGCTGGTGGGGACACAACTTTCTGCAGGCAGAACAGTGCTGCTGTGCCCGGGTAGGCAAGACACCGAGCAGGAGGTGGCCAGGCCAAAATCAACATGCCGGGAAGAAGAACAAAGAGGGAGGAAGCGGAGTGGACAGGTTCCGGATGCAAAGAACATGGATGTGGACGCGGCCGAGGAAGAAGAGACAGGTGAGGGCTGCACTTTTTGAGTGCAGGGCACAGAAGTTGCTGAGAAATTCCCCACAGCCAAGTCACACAGATATATAAAGTCTCAGATGTCTTTAGCTTTAGAGACGATGGTGGCAACCTCAGGAGCCGACAGGTTCTTAGGAAAGGAGGGAGGAGAGGGAGGAAGGGAGGAAGAAAGGACATTGCTAAGTGCTGGGCACAGTGTTTCCTATGCAACTGCTATCTGTCTTAACCCTCATGACTGCCCAGCAAAGAAAGCATTATTATCCCCATCTTTTAGACACAAACTGAGAATCCAGAACAGTAAGGAACTGAGCCTAAAGTGACAGAGCTAATGAGAGGCAGAAATAAGTGTGCAAACACCAATCAGGCAGAATCCCAAATGCACGCTTCCTCTGCCACACCGCTCCAGTCAGTCAGAAAGAACTCCAAGGGACGGCTTCTCTGGTCGTCCAGGGGTTAAGAATCCTCCTGCCAATGCAGGGGACACAGGTTCGATCCCGGGGCTGGGAAGATCCCACGTGCCTCCAAGCAGCTATGCCTATGTACCACAACTACTAAGCCCATGCTCTAGCGCCTGAGTCACAACTGCTGAGACCGTGCACCGCAACTATACAAGCCCGAGGGCCCTAGAACCCGGGCTCTGCAACAAGCAGCCAGCCCAATGAGAAGTCCATGCACCGCAACTAGAGAGAGCAGCCCCAGCTCTCCTCAACAAGAGACGGCCCTCCTGCCGCAACGAAGACCCAGAACAGCCAGTAATTAAATAAACAAAAATTTTTAGGGGGGAAAAAAAAGGACTCCAAGGGAAGGAAAGAGCCCTCAGCAGGACCCCTGGGAAACACCCAGTTGCTTTTTTTAAATCCGAGGTTGACATGTCTTGAAAAACCACTCGTATCTTTTTCCAAGGAAGATGCAAAGAAACTTACGTAGTGGGAACACATGAGATAAAATGAAACGGAAGACGAATGGATGGGGAAAACAAGACAAAGGAAAGACGTGGGAAGGAAAGATGAGAAGGCGAGTCAGGAATGAGTCGGTGATGACCCACATGCCTTAAAATCCGGCACACTACAACAGATCACTGATTTGCCTGAGTTTTCTAGCAAGCAACAAGACGAAGGCAGTGTGTCGGATACAGAATTCAGCGTCTACTGAGAAGAAACACACGGTTTCTAGTGTGGAGACCCGGAGGGGGTGGTTTTTCTCTCCCAGATTCCCTAGGTAAACGTAGGCAACGTCACAGGCGTGACCGGAAGGAGCGCCGGCGCTTCCGGGTGCCGACCTGAGGGCTCGTCTCGGCGCCAAGGCACCGAATCGTTCCCACAGCTCGAGGACGGGTTCCGCCCCCTCCAGGAAGTGCCCGCGGCGGTTTCTCTCATCTGAGCTTCTGCTGAGTAGCGGGCATTACTCCTCCCCGACTTCCTCGCAAGGGGGCTCCGGGGCGCACAGCGCGGGCCTCTGACTACGCTTCCCACGCTAAGGGGAGGACCAGCAGCCTCCCGGGAGTGCTGAGGACCCGACCGGGACGCGCGTCTCCAGCGGGGGCTCCGCTACCTGCCTGCCCTCCGGAGACACCCAGGGCTCTCTTCAGCAGGGGTCAGGGTCTGCCCTCAAGACGGAACCGGGCGGGGCCCGTGCTCAGGAGCCCTGTCAGCTTCTGGGGGAAAACCTACCTACTCAAGAGATTTTCCTGTGCCCAGCGTCAGTGCGCACACTTTCTTAAGTGTTCAGCCTGAACAGCTAACTGCAGGTCATCCGGGTTGGCGGGGGGAGGGGGGTGTGAATATTTGTAGAGAGACCAGTTCTCAGGACTGTGCACTCAGATTATGACTCTAAAACCAGACACTTCCAGAAACCGTAGAAAGCTAGACATTCCCCACGCGGGGCAAGTTACACAAAGAATGTGCATGCTAAGTCGCTTCAGTTGTGTCTGACTCTTTGCAATCCCATGGGCTGTAGCCCACCAGGCTCCTCGGCCCATGGTATTCTCCAGGCAAGAACACTGGAGTGGGCTGTCATGCCCTCCTCCAGGGGATCTTCCGGAGCCAGGGATTGAACCCGCGTCTCATGATCTCCTGCACTGACAGGCAGGCTCTTTACCACTAGTGCCACCTGCGAAGCCCACACGAAGAATAAGCAGCCCCAGTATACAAGGGCGTTTCTTTCTCCTCTGAAACAAGGCGTTTGAGTGTCGGCCAAAACAAAAGCCAAAGTTATGTCCAAATTGTAGCGGCAGCTGGTGACCAACAGACAGGGTACTTACAATTCTTCAGCTTCCAGACATAACAATTTAAGAGCTGTGAGCAACCGCCAAGACGGTCCATCCCATCCAAAGGTCAGATTCCTAAAGCAGAAAAAGGACAGGTTATGTATCGATCACTGAATCTCTCTGTCCTGCACATGAAACTAACACAACAATGTAAATCAACTACACTCCCATACAAAATAAAAATTAATTTTAAAAAATGACAAATCCTTCATTGTGACACTTCATTACATCCCAGTAAATGGCTCAAGGGCCCCACATTTTTTTAAAGGGGCCATTAAACATGGTGCAGCCCACAGTCTTAGTCACAAAGACAAAAGAGAAAAGTGGGTCTGCCAATACTTAACTAGAAAGCTCTTTCGATATGTAAGAAGCTGAAGCTAGATGAGGAGACCCTAGTGAGACGGATGAAGAAAAGTCTGGGTTATCCCGAGGATCAAACCAACAGTGGCATCACAGCTAGCTTGGGCCTCACTCTGCTGCTGGACCATTGAGAACTCAGTTTTATCTAAGGAAAATCTGCAAGGCGGGGGCAGGGGGGTGGTCATCTCAAACCCAGTTTATCCCATTTGGTGTGGAATCACCTCAGCACCTCCCATCCCAAGAGCCTGCACGCAGTTGCTGGGTGGCTGACGGCCAGGCTGGCTTGCAGGAGCGATGCCACACTGCCTGACTGCATGTCAGCAACAAGCACACAGGGCCACCAGTCAATACATACAATCATTTAAGACGTCAAGTCCCTATCTCAGGTCCCCAGAAAAGTCCCTTGTCAAGTATCTTCCCCTAGTTGTATGCCCCACCATACATCAAGCACAGTGTACTATATACAGTAAACGCTCAATAAATAGCTACCTGTCACCAGATCTGAGCCAGAAGGCCTCTCACACCTTCAAAACCTGAACTCTCAATTTTTCATCAAGACTTCCTAAAGGAAAAATTTCGAGAGAAACACTTACCCTATAAAGTCATGATCCTCCAAAATGGAAATCTTTTTGTTCATCTGTTTATCAGTGGATGGAAGATATTTAACAAGCATATCTGCATTTAAAAAAAAAAAAAATCAGGCTGAGATGTAGAGCATAAAATCCAGGCAAAAAGGGAGACCCTTCTCAACTTACTTTCCATCCCATCAGCAATTAAGACACATGTAAACAATTTTACCTCTCTCACATCAAAAAAAAAAAAAAAAAAATCTAGTCTTTTGGTCCAACTCAATGAGGTCATGACTTAGCCCTTGAAAGGCTGCAAGAATTACTAGACAGCAGACAAAACATCCACTACCTCAGCTCCTGCTCCCACAAAGCAAATCAACCCACAAAATCGGGGAATGAAGACATGACAGGGCCAGTGGAAAGCCACACCCACTGAAGTACAGGCTCCAGACAATCATGAGGAAATGTTTCCAGGCTTCGGGTTTTTAAAAGTCAGAATTCAAAACTATCTGGATATTAGTGATTGCAATCACAAACCAACTAAAAATGATGATGTGAAAATTAGCAAAGCTTTTTGGGGTAATAGGATAATGAAGGATTTTTCTATTTTTTATAAAAATTTTTTTATTTCTTTTCCTTACATGAAAAAATAAAGTGTGAATTTTGTTCAAAATATTTGACAAATCGATACTGCATGGTCATCAATACTAAAAGTTATTCTGATAATACAATGCTAGTCTCAAAGCTAGCTTTCTAAGAGACCCAGCCAAGACCCAGTTTTTGCTGTCCTATTTCATTTTGAAAAACACTTTATTACCCTAGCTAGAGGATGGAGTGGTAGCACTTTGACTAAGTTTCTATTTCCACTGAACTTATATTAAAATTACTTCAAATTATACACTCTGTAAAGCCTCAGCCATTTCTTCAACGTCTAGAAAACTGCTTCTCTGCTGCTTTAAGAGAAGGGGGAATAAATCAGCCTTCTATGTATTATTTTTAATACTATATTTGGAATTTTTACAACTTTAATATGTATTTTTAAAATATGATGACAATGATGCTAAGTAACAACACAAATGGATTCCATTTTTTATCACAGCCTTAAACCCCTTCAAACAAGGGTTGTGTGTAACATTTATCCTGTGATTGGTGCAGTGTGATTACACACATGGGTATTTCATGAGTCCTTTTTACTTGGAACTCTCTAATCCTGCACTTTATTTTTTACAGTGCTCCCATTCTTTCTTCAACATTCATTTATTTATGGAGCTGCACCAGGTCTTGGTTGCAGCCCACAGCATCTTCGTTGTGTCATGCGGGGTCTTTAGGTGTGGCATGTAGGCTTAGTTGTCCTGCAGCAGGTGGGATCTTAGTTCCCCAATCAGGGATCAAACCTGTGTCCCCAGCATCGCAAGGCAAGTTCTTAGCCAGTGGATCATCATGGCAGTCAAGCCCCCCACTGCTCTATCTTTAGTGACAACGTCTCAGTACAAAATTTCCATTTCTTGTCATCTCTATTTCCCTAGGAGTTTTCCTTTGTTTTCATTCTACTGTCCAACCTAATGCAATAAAACTTTTCTTAGTTCTTAACTTCAATATGGATCAAAACTATGTTGCTTTTACTTCAGCACTGAAATGGCATGGTCAATAAGAATTAGGATAGCCCTACCTAGGAGAAAGTAACTGATACACATCTTAAGGTTTTATCATTTTTATAAAAAAAGAACCAGATTGGCAGCAGGAAATCCAATTATCTTAGTGATGAGAACCAAAGTCAGTTCCAACCTTTTGAGACATAAACACAAGCATGAGGATTGCGGATGGAGACAAATCCATACTCCAGGAGCAGGCGGTGGTTATCGTGGGGGCCATAGCAGATGAAAACCTCCTTGTGTCTGCCACAGCGTGTAGCCGTTCTAATTTCATAACAGCGAGTTTCCTCATTAAATGCTGCTTTTACCTAGAAGAAAAAACAAAGTGTAAAACATATTTCTTAAAGCAAAGCAGAAAACCAGAAAGATTAACTGATCATATTCATTTAAGCAAGATGCAGCTTTCAAGTCCTCAGCACGGAATTTATTCACATGGAGAAAAAAATGCCACATCTGCATTTCTTTGGTTTGCCTCGATCTCAGTCCACTGGGGANTCTTAAAGCAAAGCAGAAAACCAGAAAGATTAACTGATCATATTCATTTAAGCAAGATGCAGCTTTCAAGTCCTCAGCACGGAATTTATTCACATGGAGAAAAAAATGCCACATCTGCATTTCTTTGGTTTGCCTCGATCTCAGTCCACTGGGGATATAGTCCTCTCCTTTAGGAGAGGGCAGAAGCCTGGGGAAGAAGAGGTCTCTAGCTGACTTCCAAAGCGGGATCCCGTCATGATTTCCCACAAGTATCCATCCAGTCAGAAACTGCTGGCTGAACACCTCCTCCGGGCCAGGCTCTGTGCTGAGCACCGAGGTTACGCCAAGTGCAAGGTAAAAGCCCTGTCTTCTCAGGCCGCAGAGCTCCGAGGGAAAGGAGCGAGACCCTCAGCGATCACAGCTAAACCCTGAAAGCCATGCCACCGAGTGTGGAAGGGAAAGAGACAGGAAAGCAAGTGAGGCTTTGGTCCGAGGTCTGAAAGGATGGGGCGCTGCTGGCTCAGACCCTCCAGGGGACACAGCACCAGACTCTGCAGGCCTGGAGAACTGAGTCGGGAACTGGAGCAAGGCAAAAGGATGCTTGGAGGGGGAGACAGGGTCAGGAGGAAGGACAGGAGCCTACCTGACCTGACGGCAGGGAGGCTGACCAGCTGCACCGTTCCCTGGGCTCTGCTCACTCCTCCGGTCGCAGGTTCTACATGGCCCCACTGAAACCGAACCCGGTCCCCCGGGGGATGTCTCACCTGGACATCGGGGCTGTGGTTCAGCAGATCCAGGTAGGGGGCGAGTGCGCAAGTGTCTGGCTCTGGGGAAAGGCACAGCCGCGGCGGGCGCTTCATGTACACAGCCCTGGTGTTGACGGTGCACCAGGCCCACCGCAGGGCGCAGTAGCTAAAGATGCTCTCAACGGCCTCAGAAAACAGAGGCTGCAGGGAGGAGAAAAAGCCTCGAGAAGAAGAAAAGAACTCCCACACGTGGCTTCTCTGCTCCCAGGCCTTTGCTTTCAAAGGGCTGGGGAGAAGATCCACCACTTCCGGCTCCAAACAAACTGGGCAGGTGTAGGCCTTTGGTAAAACCTCCAGGTAAGGCTTCCAAGGAGACCGATCCCCAGCGTGCTTTTCTGACACTAAAAAGGTACACAGAGCCAGCAGAGGAGATGGAGGAGGCTGCCACCTTTTAAAACGAAAATCCAGATTGGAAGAGTTACTTTCATTCAAAATATGCAATAAGCAAGAGATGCAGACATCCGAGGGCTTAGTTCTGCTTCCAGAGGGGCTGTGGCCAAGTGGTCAGTACACTCCATGTTCACCGAATGCATCCAAGAGAGGGTCTTCCTTCCTCAAGAGCCTCCTCCTGGGACCACATCCCAGTACAAAGACCATGAACAAGCCACACTGATACAAGAACTGGCTCACTAACCTGAGTTCCAGCTTTGTTTGCAAGAGATTACTTTCTGCAAAAACCTCTTTACTTTGAACTCTATTCTCCAGTTTTAAAGCTGTTGCTGGAATTTCACTTGTTTCACTTTAGTAAGGATGTAAAATTGGGGAGACAGGGAATAATTGGTAGAAAGAACCTAGACGTGCCCCATTCGACAAAGAACCCACTGGGCACCTGTAGCTATTCCAATTCTTGCTTTTTAGTTAAATAATATTGAAAATTCAATTCCCAGTCATGGGAGCCACATTCCAAGTGCTCATTGGCCATATGTGGCTACCATCCTGGAGAATTCAACATGAAACATTTCCATCACTGCGGAAAGTTCCATTGTGCAGTAATAACCCAGGCAGAAAACTGAATAAGCTCATTATATACCTGTTACAGTTCTGAAGTTTTTGGTATTATACTCACCCATCCTATTGCAAATTATATATTGCTATATTTTTGTTTATTACAGATAAAAAGAGCTCATGTTGCATGAGTGTATTTAGAAAAGTTTTCATTAATCCTTCAAGATTACATGGATTCCTATGTAACCATGCATTCTACTCAAAACCCCAGAACACAAAAAATGTTAATACCAATAGCATCCTTGGCTCTACTCAGGCTCATGAAAATATATCAGCTTTCTTACAAAGTAAGCCAGAGGGGCTTACCATGGGTTGAGAAACAATACAATATTTCAACCTTTATCATTTAGAAACCTCTTATGCTGAGGACCTTCCTCAATCTCTCCTCGGAAACCCACCCAAAAGAGAGACCCTCCCTACAACATAAGCCAGAAGATAGTTTGCAGCTCCTATGCTGGCCTCCTCACTTCTATGCCAGATCTAACCAGTTCCTTCATATTGTCAACAGCTCCTCACAGCTGAAGGAGTATTCAAGCAAGTACAGTCAGGGGAAAACTAAAAGCATAAATAACATTTGTCAAGACCTACACCGGTCGAGGAGTGGAGTGCTGTGCATCAAGGCACTCAGTTATGGTGGATATGTCTATGCTCCCATTTAATCCTCATTTTTCAGTAAGGTCAGCTCTGGATTCAAATCCACTTCCCAAGCAGCCTATTAACAATCTTAAAAATGCAGTTTACCATGAATTAAGAGTCAACTTCATAGAATAAACTTCTCACATCACTTCTGATATATACTAGCCTCACAAAGGGACTGGGTCCTAATGGACTATGTCTTAGCTGACATACTTGCTGACGATATAAACTTGAAAAGAGAAACATCCGCGCCAGATGAGCAGGTGAGCGGTCACTTACTTAGCAATGTACGCCCCTAAGTAGCTTCTGATCACTGTGTCCGTGGTGAGCAGGCAGCTCGCAGGCAACGAGATAACCGTCTGTCCCTCCTTACCAGAAAGAAAGTAAAGTTTAGAACACCCGTGCCTGGGGGAGGACCTGAGTGAATCTTCTGAAGTCCCTGATTCCACAATCATCTATTAAGAATCCAGCGGGGCCCAACCACAGACGACCGAAGAGCCTTCCAGCGGACGGGTTCCCCGGGCCGTCAGGAGACGCAGGCAGGACTGCTCCCACGCCGGGCACTACAACCCCAGCTAGAGTTAGAGGTTAACTGTGTGACTGACACCCACCACCACTCAACCTTCCATCAGAAAGGAATGCAGAAACTCTCCCGCGACTCAAGTCAGTGTTCCTTCAGGTTCTTACACCAGGAAATAGTGCCACCTACAGGCAACAGACAGAAACCATGCCAAAAATTTCTTCCAGTGAAATGAGCATGCCTGGATGTCTATTCCCAGAAACGGCATCCTTGCCATATAACCTGTGACAAGTAGCTGCAGAAAAGGCAAGGTCAGCCTCCAGCACAAAAATTTCACTTGTTCACCTGCAAAAGTAGAGTTTTCAGTTTCTCCCATTGAGATAGAAACATAGAAAAATTAAGATATCAAGGACTAGACCAGTAGAAATAAAGCATTAAGCAGTGATCAAGACCATCCCCAAAAAAAAGAAATGCAAAAAGGCAAAACAGTTGTCTGAGGAGGCCTTTAAAATAGCTGAAAAAGAAGCAAAAGGCAAATGAGAAAGGAAAGGTATACCCATTTGAACGCAGAGTTCAAAAGAACAGCAGCGAGAGATAAGACTTCCCTGGTGGCTCAAATGGTAAAGCGTCTGCCTACAATGCAGGAGACCCAGGTTCAATCCCTGGGTTGGGAAGATCCTCTGGAGAAAGAAATGGCACCCCACTCCAGTACTCTTGCCTGGAAAATCCCATGGATGGAGGAGCATGGTAGGCTATGGTCCATGGGGTAGCAAAGAGTCAGACACAACTGAGCAACTTCATTTTTCACTTTCCTCAGTGATCAATGCAAGGAAATAGAGGAAAACCATAGAATGGGAAAGACTAGAGATCTCTTCTAGAAAATTAGAGATACCAAGGGAACACTGCATGCAAAGATGGGCACAATTAAGGACAAAAATGATATGGACCTAACAGAAACAGAAGATATTAAGAAGAGGTGGCAAGAATACACAGAAGTATACAAAAAAGATCTTCATGACCCAGATAAGCACGACGGTGTTCCCTT